ACGAGATAACCCCTCATCACTAAGGGGAGTGCCGCATAGAAAATTTTGACGACTGTCTTCTAGAAGGGGGGGGGGGTATATACAAGAAGTGAAACGGTAAAGTGCGGTAATTCTCAAAACTTAATTTTTTCGACCATTCGAACTTCTCACCAGGACCCACTTCACACGCGGAAGGAGGATCGGAATCATAAATACTCAGTTTTACAGCTGCAAGAAACTTTCCCTTTCATTTAGCAGCAATACATCTTCTGAGGTATTCGAGCCGTACACTGGTGCTTAAAGGCAGTTGGCACGATGGTTTCCTACTTAGCCTAAAATGCTAGTAGGGCGCTGTATAGTGGGGAAATGGCGAAAGAACGGAGTGAAACGGTCAAAATCCTGCGAAGAAAAAGCCTCCGTTCTCAGTGACTTGTAAATCGATTTCGGACGAGTTCCCGTAGGCATCTTACCAATCACCGCTACCGAAGATACGGCTGCATATGTGCCCATGTATGCATGCAGCATCACGGCCGCTTCATACCAATCCCTTCGCTTCATAATTTGCTTAGCAAATGAATGAATACGAGCGTCAGGAACGGTCGTCCATTTGTGGGCGGGCGGGCGTTTGGGGTAATGTTGTGGCTTGATAGGGCCCTTATAAGGGCACCTTCCTCGGGGAAACCGCTATGCAGCGCCTGCCCAGGGTCGCGGAATTCTATCCTGCCAGGCGTATCAATCCTACTCGTCTTTTGGGATTTATCGTGCCAACTGCCTTTAAATGGAATGATAAGAAGGTGAACGTATTCTCTAACGGTTATTACTCATTATCAAAAGATATTTCTGAGCGAAGTTCGCTGTTTTCAATAGTGTTAGCTTGGATGAAAAGAGTAGGCTATTTTTGGTGAATAGTGGACTTTAATTGAAGATCTTGGAGTCACCAGTAAGGACTCTTCTACATTCCATCACCTGTTCATGAGACTTGATTTGCTTGCTAGAACCGGGCGGTCTCATCCGACAGTAATCCTAAACCATAAAAGCAGCAATCATCACAACAATAGGCTACGTTCATACTTTGCGGCAGCGATCCAGCAGAATCCACCAACGACCAGCACTGCTTCAAGCGTCCGTCCTCATCAGCGAATAGGAAAGAATAGATATCGATCTAGCGTCTACCAGCGTCCACCAGCGAGCAGCTGCGTCTCAAAAGTGGACAGTATGGAGCGATAGAAGGGTGCAGACAGCTGGTAGAATATGGGCATATATGGGGAAGCAGACTGCTGGTACCCTCCTGTCGTCCCATACTCTCCACCAGCAGCCTGATTCCCTCCTATCGCCTCATATTCGCCACTCCTAGATGCTGCTGGTCGCTGGTGGAGGGTGCTGGTCACTGCCGCAAAGTATGAACGCAGCTTTAGGGGGGAGAGGTCGTGCTGACACATTTTTCAGAGTAGTGGGGAGGGGAGAGAGGTTGGATTGATAGACAAATTTCTTCAACGTGATGCTTGACCCTGATGATTCCCCTGGAGGCTAACATTTAGAAAAATCGAAGTTCTGACTCGCATACCTCGAGAATTGGGCCATTCAAGAACACATATGTGCTATTCTTTTTGACAGTGTTTCTCATGGACGGCTCATTGTTCACTTTTGGAGAGAAACTGAGAGATGGACCTCTATCATGTGTGAGGTAGACAGGTACTTAGCCATTCGAAATTGCGCGGAAGTAAGGCAGAAGCATAGTAACGTAGATGCTTTATATATCCACCCGACATTCACAGCGTGCAGGACGTGTGCTAATGCAGAGGCAATCACGTTCACGCAGCGAGCAACATGGCAGCGAGCAACATGGCAAGCTGCCTACTGCGGCCAAGTGTGAAAACGTGGGGGCAGACAAATGGCGTGATCGGCCTGTCTAGCAAGACAGATCCTGCCGTTCGGGAAAAGTTTTGCGAAATACGGCTCCCTCTCTCTCAAAAGCCCCTCTGATACGATCCCATTTCCCATCTTACTCACCGTCTTCCTAGGTTCTCCAAACTCTTACCACCTTTCCCAGCTCGTCTCGATAAAAGATTCCTTCAACTCTCTACCATTTCCCTGCTTCTCCTGAAAAAAAACTGCCGTCGAACGAGTGAGAGGGGGAGGGTGGAGGAATAATGAACCCGCAACGCAGTCGGCAACCGTTTTTTTAAGGGCAAATGTGACCCATCCATCCCTCCGGCAACAAGTGCGACCCCTTGCTAAGATCTGCAGCGTACGCATTGTCACATACTGCACGCTATCCGTGCGAGTGGAGGCCCAAATGCATCCAGCCTTCATTTTTGAGTACCCTTCACTTCCCTTCAGCTTCATTTTTCAGCACTTTTGAGTGACGCAATCCACAATAGTGCACCCGTTTATTTCGCGAATGGCGAGAGCCTGTATCATCAGGGGTGAGTGTACATCGTATCTCCAACCGCCACTACCCTTGTCCTGCCATCGTGCACTTTGCCTTCAACGACAACCAGCGAAAACCCGAAATTTCAGCCTGATGCTATTCCCGTCATCTGAATCATCATGTTTTCAACTGGAATAATACTTATGATTGGCTCGCAATCAAGGGTAGTGGATTACCGATCTGTCTCAAAATGTAATAGCCTGGAGTTGTTCTAGGACTGTCGGAAGTCGGGCAACGTTACAGTCTAGTAGCTTGTGCTCAACTACCTGAAGCTTGAATGGGGTAAATGCTCTAAGAGCCGTAAGAAATAGTTTGCGGCCAATAATAAAACCAGTTGGAAACTATTCAATGTGGAGTTAAGATCACCTTTCTCTTTGATTCACCCTTCTCTTTGATCTGTTGCACACCAATTATCCATGTGTTTGGAGTAGGCGTGGGACTTGAACACGGCACTGCATTACTTGTTAGGTATTTTGTTTGAGGCAATTGTCATCTTGTTCAGTGATGAGCAGAGCCACGACAACAATTGTGTCAAAATGAAAATGTCCTGCTAGAGCACAGCCACGGCCACGTTTAGTTGGAGTATGCAGCCCCGCCTAACATATCTCACGTATCTCGAGTGTATGGGTTCACAGGAGAATTACAGGACCATTTTAATAGTTTCGAATAGTTTAGTTGATCCTTTCCAGGGGATATTTCAATAGTCTTTCAGGAAGTTTTGAACTAGAATTTTCATGCAAAGGAAATGTTGAAATTCGGAATCACACCCGAAAAGAAAATCGTGACAAAGAGTACCACCTCATAATGCGCGGCTGATTTCTGTGTTATTACTACACCAATCGGATCACCCGGCTGATGCCGGGTGTTCCTCCTTTGTTTTCGGCCCGGCTTCCTCGGGCCGACCTGGCTTCGCCAGGCACTCTTCCCTTGGGCGAGGTATAATGGGCTAAATGTGCCAAACGGTGGCAGTTATTTTTTTTGTTCAAAATGTAGGAAAGTGAGTTGAAAACAGTCATTATCTACCCATCTGGTCCCTGTTGCTTACTGAAGACTTTCAAACGTGAGAAGGCTGCACCATATCAATAAGGACCGAAGCTTGCGACATCAGAATGGATAAAACTGAATTGTCCGGTGAGTCCTCAACACTCAAAAGAGGCATAATTGCAGAGTCGTGAGAGGCACTGCGGAGGAGAACTTCAAACATGTCAAAGTGCGTGTCGCAGGGAGAGCTCGGATGTTACCACTGACAGCATGCCCTCACTCCCAATTGTTGGGTTCCCTCCTCATTTTACTCAGATTGCTACCTGCTAACACCTCCTAGAGGCGGAGGTGGTGTAGTGACAAGTGGCGCGCTTACCACTCGCGCGGCGCCGGGTTCAAATCCCGGGTCGACACCCGCCCAGGCCAACCAAGCCTTCTACCCTCCGGGGACGGTAAATTGGTACCAGATTCGTCTGGGAGGATAAAACACTGACTTGTACATCGGCTGGCCACCGCAAGTCATTGTATAGGCCACATCGCATTCAATAAGCCACTACGATTCTGAATGGAAGTAGAATGCGTGCCGCATCCCACAAAGGGATTGATCAACGGCGAAGACTTTATCCTTTACTTTAACACCTCCTAACACATCATATGGCAGGCAAATTCGAAAAAAATTCTTTGATTGATGAACTCCGATTTTTCCGTTTGCCCGCACTATATATCCCTCCTCCCCCGCACACCACTGCATGCATCTAAAAGCAGATACTTCAATGGACTACATCGATTTCGTTGCCATCAAAGGCAAGAGCACACACACTGAGCCTCTACTCGGCATTATAGTGGTAAGAAGTGATAAAAATGTGGAGCAGATAGTAACTTATCTGTTCTTATCGGTTAAGAAGACGACCTGTCACCCATTATCAGTGTCCTCATCGAGTTTCTGTGATTTGGTAGCGTGAACCACCTTGAACAGAAGAACACTGCAACGTCCCTTATCAGCATCTATCAGTGGTTATCGCTTCCAATCACCTACGGTTCATGTCTCCATCTCACCCTCTATTATAATTTGCGCGTACGCCTCGCTAATGCTGTGACCTGCGATGTGAATAGGATGACCTCACCTTTTCAAAGCCCCTTATCAATCTTATCAGCAGCTTACAGTTCTTGTCACCCACTAATGATGTTCTTGGCCCATACCCTATATCATATCTTGGAATCAAGAGCTAGCTGATGCTGTCACCCGCGTTATGAATATGGTGACCTTCTCCTTCTAACGCCTCTTATCGGATCTTATCAACTGATATCACTTCCTGTCACCCACCAATAGTGTTCCCGTCACACCCTACATCACTTCTTGAAATCAATGTCTCACTGCTACTGGGACCGGCGCTATGAATTTCGTGACAGACAGACAGACGCACACACAAACACACACACCTTACAGACATACTTAGCGGATTATATACAGTAGGATGAAGGGATCGCGTTTCTACAGTCACATAGTAAAACTATAGCTTTATACAGAATGGCCACAACCATGCTAAACAAATTTTTAAAGAAATGTACACATTTTCTGGTTTGGATTGAAGTCTTCATAATCGCCATGTTACCAATGCAAACGAACATTCATCTGCAAAACGTTGATTGCGTCAGTAATCGACATTTTGGCAGCTTGCTTAACTTCACTGACTGAGGTTCTCGCTTGCATGTAACCACAGGAAAAATCAGTGTCAGATGATGCAGAATTCCATTAGTTGGGGTGGGCGAGCGTGAAAGCATTAACATAGAGGGGAAAAAGAATCGAAGATTCTTTCTTATGACGCAGCTCCACAGGCCGGTTAAAGCTTTGAAGAAAAGCGCTGCGCATTTGACTTTCATTTTCAACGGGTGGAACTCTATGGTGTTACTGATGTGATCATCGTAGGGATCCTCGATTGAGCTCTAAGATGGCATGAAAAGGTTTCGAGCTGACGGATTGTACGTGCAAGATCCGCCTCTGTATCTTCTGCGTCTTCAATAGAATTGTGGAAGCTCAAGGTGTTGCTGACAGGAAGATCGTAGGGATCCCTATCCCGGGTAATGGAGCGTGTTCTTTTCCGTAATGCTATGACTTCTGCACGCGACTCCTACTGTGACGTGAAGCGTCAAGATACTGTCAGGGAGGGAGAGGGCATTCAGGACAAGCCGGACATGGCAATGTGGGAAATTTGGTCCAGCCCTAGCATCCATCACTGCTCTCAGTACGTGCTGATCTGATGGTGAGATGCACAAGAAAAAGCGATGATAAGGACGGGCGGTCCTGCTTTACATCTGCACTCTTCAACCTAGGAAACCCCTCCGCCGCTCACTCGCTTCTCAGAAGTCTCAATACTCAACCCGGGGAAGGTCATTACTTGAGAAACAGTAGAAATCTGGTGAAATTTCTATTCAATTCCAAAAGTTATATTTTGACCCGAATTCTCTCCGCAACTCTTTACGACATTCACCCACAACAATCCCCCATCCAATGTGGATCCCACAACAGTGAAGTGCACTGATACGAGACCAGGTCAGGGCGAGCATTTCCCAGCCATTACTCATGACTTACTCCCAAAGCGACAGAAAATCCCTTTTTATTAGAGCAAAAACTTTCAATTATGCGATTTCTATACAAAACTACGCCATATGAAAGGGTTTTATGGAAGGCCTCAAGGTATGAGGTCCCAATGATAGGCGAATAGAAGGTACGGCGGTTTGTGACAACGCCACATAAATAGGCGAATAGAAGGTACGGCGGTTTGTGACAACGCCACATAAAAGGCGTAAAAGCAATAGCATATGAAGTCCTCAGAAACTGCAAGAAAATAGGTGCGTCCGGCCAATATTCGCCTTCGAATAAATTATTTGTTGAGTCACCTTTTTCTCCCATGCAGCCGCACGTACGCGATTCTCCTCATTTCGTGGTCCCCAAAGCGCAAGATCTGGCTCGAATAAAGAGCGGAAGGGCATCTTCCTGTGAATCGCGCATGCAATCTGTAATAGCGTATTACATTTTCCGGAAGGACTCTGATCATGTAAAAGCGTTTTCCATAAAGATTACATTTTGAAGATATTCTTAATCTGTTCAATAGGTTTTTGATGCGATCGGATTTCCTTGCAAACTGGTTTCTCCATCAGGACAACAGAAGGGCTATAGGCAAACCGCGCAGATCTTCTTGTGCATACAATGGCAGTGGTGATTCCTGTTTGGGTAGCCATTCACATTGCAAGGTTGTCGTTCGCGCTGTCCGCTTGCATGGGAAAGACGGCATCCCCATGCAAGGGCGACAGATGGGTGCAGCAAGCAACGATATGGCTGGTCATTCGCGTGAATTACTAGTAGGGTGCGTGCCTCTGGGGGAAATTTCCAGAAAGAGCTCCCTCTCCCTTCTCAGTGCCACCTACCAACTTCCTAATTTCCTTAATTTTTCTAACTTCCTATCACAGTTTGTGAACCTTCCACGGAATTCTTCTAGTTCTTCTCCAAAATTCTGCCATTGAGCTGGAAGAAGGGCGGGAGGGGGAAAGGAACAGAACATACGACCCGTCCCCTGCTGAGGATTCTCCAACGTGGGACGTGCCCTGCCTGCTAGATTCTGCTCACGCAGTGCATGTTGAATCCTGTGAAGTTGGAAAAGAAAATGCACCTTATAAATGACAAATATCGGTATCGGACCAAATATGACGACCATTAGCACTCCGGATGACCATGACGCAGCTTCATGTGGAATCGGGTATGCGATAAGCAATGCAGCCTGAAAGTTTCATAATGAATGATTAACAAGGTAATACGTATGCTTACAATTAGACACAGAAATTGTGCGTGTTAATGACCAATCTGCGATCTTTTCCCAACTAATACCACGGTGAAAGCCATGGAGCTGAAGGACCTCAGAGTTCCGACTATGTTTCACGGCATCAGCACCACCCTCATGGCGGGAACAGCTACAAAGCTGCTCTCGGAGGTACATTTTGGGCTTACTCTTGTGAATCGAAGCTCGGTGGGGAGTAAGATAGTGTGGCTTGCAAACAGTAACGTTCCACAGGTTTCGCCGGGTATGCAGTAAGCAATGCAGCCTGTAAGTTCCATAATGAATGCAGTGAGACGGCCCTCTTTTTTGAAAATGAGTGGAGAAGACCCAATTCACGTGTCAGGAAGTTGTTGAGTAAGAGCGTCAAGGCGAAAGGTTGTCAAGTTGGCCCCATCGAAGCGCAAGAAACTCCGCTTACGTTGTTGTCTGTCGTCTCGCATGTTTGTGTGCTCTCACGCCCATTTCGTCTAGTCTCTCTCAACGAGACTCAGCCTTTTTTTACCTTTCGCTCAAGATCAACTGATCAAAAGATCAATCAACAAAGAAGGGAAGGTCTCATTTGAGGTGTTTCCCACAGGTTCTCTTTTTTTACGAGCCAACCGGCAGATGATTGTTTTATATGAATTGTACAAGGTAACTCAGCCTGCTATTACAAGCTTGCACCACACACGCGGTATAATACCTAACCAATCCCTTGGCGTATCTACTGAGAAATGCCTCAATTGTCCGCATGCTAATGGCGGAACCAGCTGCAAACCTGCTTTCAACGGGACATTTCGCCCTTAGCTCTAAGAATGTTTTGAAGGATTTTCAACCAATTTTCTCCTTTTGTCGCTGTTAATGTCAATGGTAATGTCAGCTAGAATCCTAGTGTTGTGTCCTTGAGAAATGAGCAGCAGTAGAATATTTATTGGAAGACAGTAGTATATCAACATAGAAAATAACCCGTATATATACTCCTCTGCCTGGTCAAAAGATCGAGTCAAACCAGGCAGACCTAGTACAACACAAGATCAAATACCTACATGTAATAGATCACAGTGTCCCCAACACCTCCCCCCTAAGATTGACGGCTGCCGTACGATTTAGCGTACGGGTCAATCTGAAGAAAATCTGGAGGGCGACGAGTGCGGCTTGGTCGTCGTCTTGCAGCGGCTGGAGGCACTGTAGTCGTTGTTGTTGTTGTTGGAGCAGCAGCAACCATCGAAGACTGGGATGTTGTCGAAGTCGTCGTTGAAGATGAAGGCGATGTGGCGTTGAATGGTAAGTCGAAGGCGCTCATCAGCTCTTGTGTAGCTTCCGTCGATGCACGTGGAATTAGCTGGTTGGCGTGGCGTCTCCATATGAATCCATTGACTTGAACGTCGTACACGGTGCGTCCACGTCGGCATAGGATCCGTCCTTGAGTCCATCTGGATTGTCCGGATCTGTAGTCACGAGCGTAGACCTTATCTCCAGGTTGAAACTTCCTGTGTTTGGCTCCATATTGACGGTTGAACTGCTTTTCCATTTTCGTGTCCGCAACAGGTTCTTCCTTGTTGTCCGGCTTCAGCAGATCCAGCTTGTTGCGAAGGCGTCTTCCGAGGAAGTTTTCTGCGGGACACCTTCCGTTGGGAGAAGCGGTGCAAGGCGTATTCCGGTATGTGAAGAGGAATGTCTGGAGAGCTTCGTCGGTCGGTCCGTGCTTCTTCAGCTTCCCGAGCGTGCGCTTGAATGTGTCCACGAAGCGCTCAGCTTGTCCATTGGACTGCGGGTGGAAGGGCGGCGACCGGATATGCTCGATTCCTTTCTTCTTGCAAAAATCCTGGAACTCGGCTGCGGTGAACTGAGTTCCATTATCTGAGACGATGATGCGAGGGAATCCGAATTGAGCGAACAAGCGACGGAGTTCCTTCAGTGTGGCGGTGCTGGTGGTAGAAGTCATTGAGATGACTTCGGGCCATTTGGAGAACGCGTCGACGACACCAGGTACGACATTCCATCGATTGGGCCGGCAAAGTCGATGTGGATCCGGCTCCATGGCGCATCCGAACGAGGCCAAGAACAGAGCGTATTCTTGACTGGCGACTTGGCGGCTTCTTGGCAATCGTTGCAGGCGCGGACAAGTTTCTCCACATCCTCGTTGATTCTCGTCCAGAAGACATATTGACGAGCGAGGGCTTTCATTCGGTTAACTCCTGGATGTCCCTCGTGTAGCATTTTCAGGACAGACGGCTGGAGTGATGGCGGTATGACGATGCGGCTTCCAAAGAGCAGGCATCCTTGTTGTGCCGAGAGTTCGTTGCGTAGGTGGGCGTATCTCGCAACTGTTGGCGATGGTCTCTTCGGCCAGCTGTTGTGGGCGATATGGTCCATGACTTGACGGAGACAGTCGTCTGCAGCTGTTGCGTGGGCAACCTCCTTGGCAGTGACTGGTAAGCGGCTCACGTTCTCGGCGAAGATGGCGTTCACGTCTTTGGTGATACTGGCAATGATAACGTCTTCTTCTGGTGGCGATTGCATGGCGATGAGACGAGACAGTGCGTCGGCTTGTCCGAAGCTAGCAGTGTTTCGGTACTCGATGTCGAAGTCGTAGGCGAGCATTGTAAGTCTCCATCGTTGCAGTCGGTTCGCGGAGTAGGCCGGAACTCCCTTCTTTGATCCGAATATTGCCAGAAGTGGCTTGTGGTCCGTTAGCAAGGTGAAGCGGCGCCCGTAGATATAGCGATGGAATTTCCGGACAGCGTATACGAGCGCCAGACCTTCTTTTTCCACTTGGCCATAGTTCTTCTCCGCCGTGGTGAGAGAGCGACTGGCGTGGTAGACAGCTTTCTCTGTTCCGTCTTGATAGCGATGAGAAATAACTGCTCCGATCCCATAGTCTGAAGCGTCGGCCGCGACGATGATGGGCAGCTTGGGGTCGTAGTGAGCTAGGAGCAGGTCCGAAGCGAGCACTTCCTCGGC